ATTTTCCCTTAGAGTAAGTGCTTGGTTATGCTTTTATTATTTTAAATAGAGAAAGATTAACACTTAGAAGCTAAAAAAACTAGAAAATTAAATAAAGTACTTTAAACGATATAAATTACGTATAAATTACGCAATTGATCAAATGATAATTTGATTGGCTAATTATTACGGAGACTCACGGGTAGATCTACAAAAATTAACCAATCAGACGAATGTCTTCCTATGAGCGATCCCCTTATAAAAGTACTCTAAAAATTACAATTGACTGTATAAAAAAAAAGATCGTCGCCAATCATATTTATCCTAATTTTAGCCAATCAAACGAACTTCTTCAATGCTTGTATCTGCTCATAATAGTTATCGTTATAATTTTTTCCGTTCACCAATTTACCCTCACAAAATAAAGAAGCGTAGTCCTATACTTTTTTTTTTATATAATTGGAAGGAGAGTTAAGATCTGTATTTGATTAAATATAAATTCAGTGATTAAGATTTTTCATAAACTTTTTAATAGCGAAAACTGTTAATTTCGCCATTTTTCCCACCTCTATCTTATATTGCGTGGTTTTTCTATTCGTCAACATTATTTAAAATGCCGCTCTCATTACCAATAAATTTCCCTGAATGGTTGGAAAAGAATAAAGATAAATTACAACCACCGGTCAATAATTTTCTCATACAAAAGGGAGACTTTATTATAATGGCAGTTGGGGGACCTAATGCTCGAACCGATTACCATGTTAATCAAACAGAGGTCTGTGAAATAAATAGTTCATTGATCCAGTAATTAATTATAATCAGAAAGATTTCGAGATAATACAAAGACAATTATTTAATTTATATTCAAATTCAAACCATAGGAATGGTTTTACCAATATAAAGGAGATATGGTTCTTAAAGTTGTTGACGATGGTGAATTCAAAGATATTCCTATAAAGGAAGGTGAAATGTTTTTGCTACCTGGTAGTGTCTAGATAATTCATTTAAATTTTTTTACTCACGTATTTATCTGGTAATCAATGTTGATTGGCTTGATCGGCTAAAAAAGCATTAGATATCAGATGGGCGGAAACGACCATATCTTTTATTTTCCATAGATCGTCCTCCGCTTTGTACTGGACAATTAATGTCCTAATATTTATTTAATTTATTTTATTCCCGTCAGGTAATACTCCACATAACCCAGTTCGATTTGCTAACACAATTGGAATCGTAATCGAAAGAAATCGTGGACCTGAAGAAATAGGTATTGAATATTTTTATCCATTTGATTAACATTTTATATTTATAATATTTATAATCTATTAATTCTTTGAATATTTATGATCTATTAATTGAATTATAGATCGTCTCCGATGGTATTGTGACAATTGTAAAAAAATAGTGTATGAAGAGTCATTTCACTGTTATGATTTAGGAACTCAATTGAAACCCATTGTCCAAAAATACGCGGCAAATGAAGAGTTAAGAAAATGTTCATGTGGACATGTGAATATTGCAAAGTAAATGCCCTAAACATAGCGAGGGAGTCATGTCCGTTCCTATTTTTAGGTTAGACGATCATCGCTATGTTTACCGTTAGCCAACTTTTTTTTTTAATTTTAGCTAATCATGATGATAAAAGAAATCAGTGCTTTCTAGTAATAGTATAATATTGTGTTTATACAATTTTATTATGAACATAATATCACATAATAAATAAAGGTTAGCATCTATAATAACTATTTTAATCTGTATATCGTCCACAAGGAACGCTATGAATACTTCTTCCTTCATTCCATTTCAAAGCAGTTAATTCACCACCATAAACACATCTCGAATCTAAACCGAAACTGAATTCTTTAATGTTTAATCCACGTGATGCATCATGACCATATATAACTGTTTTCGGTGTTGGGGAGGACTTTTGCGCAATGTTCCAATAATGTGACCATGATTTTCCTTTCTTTAAGGATTTAGTTGGTTTTCCGTTATCTTTGATATTTCTCTATATAAATTATATTAATAAATATTTTAATGAAGATCAAAAGAAAAATAATGAGTAATTAATCATACCATGGTCATTATATCATCAGGATCCTGTTGATCAATAGGTACGTCAGGTAAAAGACCCGCATGAACCACATATAAATCCTGTTCTGGAATGTTAATTACGATAGGACACGAAGAAAGGAATTCATAAAGTTCTTTATCGATATTTCTATAATATTAAAATATGAAAATTTAAAGCCACCTACTAATCAATATAAATATATATAAACATTATAGAAAAAAAATCCGAACCTTGCTAAATTCACATGTTCGGTCTCCATACTTAGATGAGGTGGTAGTTCATTCTTTTTAACATAATCTTTCAATTTAATTCCTCTTCTGCCCAACATCTCTAAAAATACTTTCCATCGTATCACTTTATCATCGTGATTTCCACGAACGCAACTACTTCCATACTTTTTAACCAATTTAACAACTTCGATTGATTCTGGACCTTTAGCCACTAAGTCTCCAACAAATATCAAATGATCGTTTGTTGAATTATAATTAATTTTTTTTAAAAGCATTTCAAGTTCATCCAATGAACCATGAACATCACCAATAAAAATTAAATTCTTTGAGGAAACCGATGAAGATAAATTTGTAATCAAAAATTGATTTGTATTTAAAAGTTCGTGTGATTCTTCTATATTTGCTATATAAAAACCTGATTTGATATCACCAGGAACATATGGAATCATACTTAAAGATACTGCTACAAGTATAATTGAGAAGATAGTAATTATTATAGCTACAGGTTTAGTATTAAACGGTTCTGTTATTCGCTTTTTAGAATGCATTTTGAAAAATAAAGTAAAAAGATTAAATCATGTTAGTTTATACAAATATCGATTTACTCCGATATTTAAATTTAACATTACTGCATTACACCGAAAAAAAAAAAAAAATTATTAATTCAAAAATGGGCGTTTTTCCACAAACAGTACTGAATTTGAAATTTTGAATACAAAGCTGCATTCCAGATTTCTCAATTGACACTGATGTGCATATACCTTTAATATATACAGTATATTTTTTAAATTACAGCTTAAAAAATTTTGATTGGCTAATAAAGTGCGATATCAAAAAACTAAGGGTGATATTTAAATTTTTTTAAAAAATTTCTGTATCGAGGGAATAGAATCTGATTGCTGTTACTGTATTGTATAACGGTTTAAACCAAGCATAAAGTGTCATTTTTAAAATTTAGTTTCCAGGATATCATTAAGAAAACTATTGCTCAATTTTATCTACGCAGGGCTGTTACACAGTATGATTTTCTAAATTAAGAACTCATTGCAATAAATAGTTGTAGTCAAAGTAATCAGCACCGTTCAGCATTACACGTGGTACATAGAACTATTATAGAATAATCAAATCCTCGAGAATTACTCCAGCTGAAGCTATCTATAAAATAAATTCTTGATATGTTTTAGTTGATTCTTCGATTCTTAGAGTTATTATCACTAATAGTAATCATTCTTGCATCTCCTAAACATAGTAGGCAAGAGGTTGTTTTTTATGATAAAAAATGTTGTCACGTGATTTATTGGTAATGCAGTAATGAGAAGTTTATTGGTTCGAAATGGGCTGAGAAAATTTTTAACAGAAATGGAGTTTGAGATATCCCTCGATATAGTTTAGTGAATGTGTGGAACAGTAATCACTTACCTGTTACATAAAAATATCTACGTAAAATTTCATTTTCATTATGATATTAATATATTAATATACATTATATAAAGAAGGTTCCAACGCTGAATAAATTTATATAATAAAAACATTAAGTAATGGAAAAGCCATACTGTACCTTCCGGCTTTTAAAAATTTATTTTGATCGTAAGAGACCAAATATTAAAGGTGTGAATGTTAAAGAAATGTGACCTCGAATATATGCAAATACGTATAAAGTGTCGTAAGTACAGTACCTTGAATTATTACACAAACACATAATTAGAACGAGGTTATTATATTAGTCTTGCTTTTTTTGACTAGTATTGGGCCATTTCTAGCGCAAACTTAAAGTATGGCGCAAACACAAAGCTGTCGTACGAACTAC